AGGGGTGATTCACAGCTGTTGCAGCTGAGTGAGAAACCAGTGCCATGTCACCTATTAAATCCAGAGCTCAGAAATTTTAATTTATTTGACCCATATTTCCCAGAAACCCCTAGTTACATGGTCATTTAAAATTAATCCTCCTTTGTCCTCTCACTATCCAAACTGGCTGGAACAATTGTGACCCCGCAAAAGCAACTCTTCCAAACTCTGATTAAATCCAGGTGCTTTGCAAGATTTGTCATCAAGTCTCTTCTATCCCTGAAGGATGGTGCTGTCCAGTTTTCCCTGGTTCCTGACGTTAATTTGGTTATACTGGATGGACAGCCTCAATAAAGTGTCCTTTCAATACAGTTATTAAACGACTATCCGGTGAGAGATAAGGCGATCCATTCCTGCCCCCCTTCTGCCCCCACAGCCCTGCCATCAAGCTCTTGAGAAAGGTCTCCTCAATTACTCCACAGGCGGAAGGGCAAGGATGTTTGTTAGAGAAATGGTCCCAATTTATAGATACCCTGCAGGGAGTTTCTGATGGTATCAGCCCAAAGTACTTGGTGCTAATCACATTGGACCCACTTACCTGTTTTGATGCCTTGGGCAAGCAGGGCTATAAAACCACTTGCCCAGTGTCAGACTGGTGAGTGAGCTGGACACATTGCCAAGCTTCTTTCCCTTGTCTCAAACCATGAATGCCGTTGGAGTGGCGGCGGTAGCTGAAAGCTACCAGACATTCAACCCCAGGGCTTACTTACAGAACAACTATATGCCACCCCGTGCAAACTTCACAAGCGAAGAATATGCTGTGCCTTGGAAACTCCGCCGACTGGCAGATGCCTTTGCCACAGGTACGTTGGCACCTGTAACCATTTTTGCTGCAAGGAGATTTTTGGGGCATTTAAAAAAAGGTCTACTTAGAGCAGAGGTTCTCAACCTTCCTAATTCCGTGACCCCTTAATCCAGTTCCTCATGTGGTGGTGACCCCCAACCATAACATTATTTTTGTTGCTACTTCATAACTGTCATTTTGCTACTGTTTATCAATCGTGATGTAAATATCTGATACGCAGGATGTATTTTCATTCAGTAGACCAAATTTGGCACAAATACCCAATACGCCCACATTCGAATACTGTTACTGCTATGAATCGTGATGTAAATATCTGATATGCAGGATGTATTTTCAGTCTCTAGGCCAAATTTGGCACAAATACCCAATATGCCCATATTCGAATACTGGTGGATTTTTTTTGGGGGGGGGGGATTGTAGTTGCTGAGATTTATAATTCACCTACAACCAAAGAGCATTCTGAACCCCACCAATAATGGAATTGAACTAAACTTGGCACACAGAACTCCCATGACCAACAGAAAATACTGGAAGGGTTTGGTGGGTATTGACCATGAGTTTTGGAACTGTAGCTCACCTACATCCAGAGAGCACTATGGACTCAAACAATGATGGATCTGGACCAAACTTGGCATGAATACCCAATATGCCCAAATGTGAACACTGGTGGAGTTTGGGGAAATTGACCTTGACATTTGGGAGTTGTACTAGTTTTTTTTTTTTGACATTTTGGGAGTTGCTGGGATTTATATTTCACCTACAATCAAGAGTGCTCTGAATCACACCAACTATAGAAATGGTCCAAACTTCCTACACAGAACCCCCATAACCAGCAGAAAATACTGGAGGGATTTGGGATGAACTGACAGTGATTTAGGGGAGAGGTAGTTCACCTACTTCCATAGAGCACTGTGAACCCAAACAACTATGCCAAAGGGATTCTTAAGACCGTCAGAAATAGGTGTTTCCTAATGGTCTTTGGTGACCCCTCTGAAACCCTCTTGTGCCCCCCCCCCAGGGTCCCTACCCCCAGGTTGAGAAACACTGACTTAGAGAAACAAATGTGCTCTTTCATGCCATTGTCACTGGGAATGTTTTTTTTTTAAAAAATACAGTCTCTCTTTGTCCCATTCCTGTTTGAATGTTGTTTTGCCCATTTGCCCAGTTTATGTCAGCCATTCTTCATTGAATTATGAACATTTGTCTTCTGGTTGCTATGTGTACTAAATTGTAGCAAAATGCCTTTATAAAAACATATTTGTAACCTATTTTATCAGCTCTGTTGCATCAAAGAGCTTTCAAAACCTAAACATATTTTGTCCATTGCTTGTAATCTAGGTGGCTCCACTTGACACATGGAATTTTTGCTTTGCAAAATCAACACAGTATATTTTTTTGAGAAAGCTCTATTATTGTTCATACATCACAAAAGATCTCAGCTTAGTATTTTCAAGTCAGTACCTTGGTTAAACCTGAGTACATAGAAGGGTCACGTGTCCTGCTTTATAGATGAGTCCTCCATTTGCAAAACTATCAGGTGACAGCCCTCTATTTAAAGGGTTCTCTAACTCAGTGTTTCCCAAACTGTGTAAAAAAATAGCACATCTTATTTTCTTCTTCTCTGTTAAATTTTCTGCAGGGAAAATCTATGGCAAGACTCTTATTGATATTGGCACAGGGCCCACAATCTACCAACTTCTCAGTGCCTGTGACTACTTTGAGGAGATTGTGGCTACTGACTACTTGGAAGTAAACCGGGCTGAGATTCGCAGCTGGATTCACAGTGATGACCCAGGAGCATTTGACTGGTCTCCTTATATCCAGCACGCCTGTAAGATTGAAGGCAAGGGGTAAGAAACAAAGGAGGGTGCTGCCAAGTTTCAAAGGGCTACATCAAGCAGGGGCAGGAGGCGCTCCTCAAGTTGTTCTATCTGGTCCACTAACCAGCAGAATAACTGTGTAATGGGATAAATTTCAATTAACACCTCAAAAGTCTAATCTTTAGATCTGCATTAAGAATATGCTTTCCAAGTCCAGCATAAGCTGACTTATTCATTCCCTCTGTTTTTTTGGCGGCGGGGGGGGGGGGGGGGGTTGGAGCAGAGGAGGATTCTATGCATTCTCAGAGTCCCTAAAATAACCTTTTGAATCTCTACTTCGCTGGGAGAGATAACCTGGAGTTTTGGAGTCAAATTTACACTGATGACACCCAAATCTATTACTTCTTTCTATCAAATACCAAGGATGCCGTTCTGCCCCTGTCATCAGTGATGGACTGGATGAGGGCTAATAAATAAGTTGAAAGTAAATCCAGACAAAACAGAAGCATTCCTGTTGTTGAATGGGGTCACACTCTCCTTGAAGACACAGGTCTACAGTCTGAGGTTGGTCCCGGACTAATTGCTGACCCTGGAACTGCAAGTGTCGGCGGTGGCCAGGAGCACCATTACACAGTTAAAACTTGTGCGCCAGCTGTGCATATACCTTGAGACACTAGGTCTGGCCATGGTAGTCCATGCCATGGTTCCTTCCCGCCTGGACTACTGCAATGCTCTCTGTGTGGTGCTGTCTTTGAAGATAGATTGGAAGCTGCAATTAGTGCAGAGATCAGCAGTCAGATTGCTAACCAGAACTCCATATGGTGAGAAGACAACTCCCATGCTATGGCAGCTCCACTAGCTGCCGTTCTGCTTCTGGGCTAAATACGAAGCACTGGTCGTTACCTATAAAGCCCTAAATGGTTCAGGCCCAGACTATTTGCAGAACCGCATCTATGTATACAAAGTAGCATGAACCTTGCAACCTGCATGTTCTACTCCCATCTTAAACACAGCTGGTGGGAACGAGAGACAGGGCCTTCTCCGTGATCACTCTCTGCCTCTGGAACGCCTTCCCAAAAGAATTAAAAACTGCTCTCTCACTCCTCACTTTTAAAAAACTGCTGAAAACCCACCTATGCATTTCGCCGTATGGAGAGGAGGAAGAATAATATCCCTGACTTATACTTTTGCCTAGATATGTTAAGTCTTGTCTAGAGACTTAACATTGACAGGAACTGACTTCAGTCCGCTGGTTGTTGCATAACATGTCATCTTTTTATAATGGTTTTAGCTATCATTCTTAGTTCGTTTTTGGTTAGTGTTAAATTTATATTAACTGTTATAGCCATATAATTTCTTTAAGTTTTTATTGTTGGTTATTTTGTTTGTTATTAAATTTTAGAGTTAGATTGCTTTTATATTGTTCAATATAGTTTGTCCTGATGTAATTCTGTTTGAATGGTTTTCCCTTTTTAGCTTTGAATGTTTGCCATGCATGTTGGAAACCACTCTGGTTCCCTATGGGGAAATAGGGCAGTCTATTATTATTATTATTATTATTATTATTATTATTATTATTATTATTATTATTGTTATCATTACTACTACTACTCTGGAACATTTGCATGTCCCATAGTTTTCAGAAGGCCATCATGTTCACATAAACTCTCACCACACTTCATTGTAATTTAGCACTGACCTTGAAAAACTTGAATGACTAGATGTGTTGCTCGAAAACTTCCTCTGTGGGTGGCCAATTGGTAAGGGATTGTGAGAGCTGCTATGCCAATACCTAGGTCAGCAATACTGTTATTCCCTCATTAGCCCAAGAGTAGAGTTAGGTATATGTTGGCTTCCTGTTTTATCAGTGTTCCTATCTGATGGAGATTACCCAGATGCTATCTTACTGGTTTTCCGTTAATTCAGCCATGTAAATCATGAAGCATAGGGATAAACCTCCCAACATTTCACAGATTAAAACTGGGATACAATTCACCAAACAATATCAGAGTGTGGTCAAGAAAGCTGAAAGGTATTCTTGAAAACCTGACATGCTAGAAAAAGATGCAACAGTTTGCCTATATTGAGAAGGACAAGACTCCACCCCCTCCTTTCCTCTCCCCTTCTTGCTGAGCTGAGTACAAATTAGTTTTGTGCTTCATACTGGCTTTGAAAAATTGAAATAAACTGAGAACAAAGAGGAAAAGTGGAGGGAAAGAAATGGCAACTGTAAAAATAAGGATTGTCCTTGTCAAATTAGGACAGTTGAAAGGTATGCTGGCCCATGACAGTTCTCATTGCCGTACCTCAAGGGAAATCTCATAATTCAGGTACTTGTTTTGTTTCATACTCACAAAGTATTTAAAAGTTGTTAAAAGCAGTTTTAACAACCATCAGGGGCAGGACTTTTGTAAAGCTTGTGACTAGTTAACTACCAATGCAAATCAACTCCAAATGTTGCAACAAGAATAGGTTACAACAATATACTGTTTTGGGGGAAATCCATTCACACTTCCCCAGGTAGGAGTATAGGGAATCCCGGGTTGAGGTAGCAGCAACTAATGTTGGCATGAGCCCATGCTAATCAATACATTCTGTTGCTTTGGCTTTTCCAGAAGAAATATCGATTGGGTAAATGGTAATTTAGTTCTGAACAAAAGATTTTAAACGTTATGTTTTTAAAATTACAGCCCCAAGGATCCTCAACCAGACTTGACTTTTTTGTCTCCTTATTTTGCTCTTGAAGGGAACCCTGGAAAGAGAAGGAGCAAAAGCTGAAGAAGAAGCTCAAGAAGGTCTTTCCCATCGATGTCCACCAAGCCAAACCACTAGGGTTTGTGCTCAGCCAACCAGCCGATGCCTTAGTCTCTGCCTTCTGTATCGAGGCTGTGAGTCCAGATCGAGAGAGTTTTGACCGAGCTCTTCAGAACGTCACCACTCTTCTCAAACCTGGAGGCCATTTCCTTATGATCGGAGCTTTGGAAGAGTCCTTCTACTTGGCTGGAGAAGCCAAACTGTCAGTTGTCCCCATGAAGGAAGAAGATGTCAAGGAATCCTTTATGAAAGCTGGCTATCGCATCCACGAATTTCACTCCTACACTATGCCACCAAGTCTGAAGATTGGTGTGGATGATGTACAAGGGATCTTTTTCATCAACGGGCAGAAGTCAGCTTGAGTCTCCATTGCTGAATGTCTCAATCCTGCCCAACCACAATTAAAGAAATATCCTATTGCATTGTATAGCCAGCTTGTTCACTGTTACCATTACCTCCTGTATTAATATCACTATACTCAAGAACTGTGTCTGGTTTTCTTGATTCAATCTTTAAATTAATATTCTCTAGACAAAAAAAGACAATAATGCTACAGTTTGCTGCTTTGATGGTCCAAGGAAGTAGTAAAAAGAAGTAAATGTTCAACCCTCATGACCTTGTCCACTGGTGATTTATTTAACCATTCTGCAGTGCCAATAGTTTAACAGCAGAGAACATCATCCCCCTCTAGAGACCATCCAAATCCCACAGTCAGCCTTGAGGCTATTTTTGCAATTTGTGGGCCCCTCCATAAGTTACACTCCATTGCAATACAGCTATATCACAAAAATACATAGCATACAGAAGCCTTTATACTATGGGATGCGATTCTCCTCAAACAAGACATAGCCCTTCTCCACATATTTTTAGCATCAAACAAGGGTGTTTTCATTATGTGTCATATAAACACTTAAAACTAAAATAAAGGGAGCACAAGCAGCTAAATGATTTTAGCTAAATGGTGCATAACACTATGGATCCTTTGTCTATATGGATAACCAGTGTCTACATGGAATATCAAGACTCTCATGGTTAAGCATGTGCTACCTCGGTGGTTTATCCTGCTCTTAATCCCACACTCCAGCTTTTGTTCAACCAAGAGAGCCACGTTTCTTCTACTGAGGGCTATTTTGACTGGTTTTCACTGGAATGATCTCAGAGAAATTGTTTTGGAACGTATCTCCTAGGACATGGCCATGTGAGCCAGGTTTCTGGGAGCCATAGTCTTAAAAAATTACTTCTCCAAGATCTGGAGTTCAGCATATGCTTATCGGATTGATCCCTTGCTGTTGTCAGTCACTGCCTTTCCTGGTTCATAAACTTTTCTCTCTTTGTAGAACTGTTGAATTTCAGCTGCTGCCCTTGAAGCAACTCCGGTTTCAAAGACAAGTGGAGATTAATGGGCTATTATTATAGCTTGGAAAGATTTTCCTCAAAGTTTCAACTGCTAAATCAGGAAGGTCAAGAGTTTACATCTTAAATTTAATTACCATTCTTTTTTATTGGAATTACAACACACATCAGTTGGGACGTAAGACCCAAAAGATTTGATTTGCAAACTGATGCCCCAGCAATGACACACAATGAAATTCCCCACAGAATATTTCACAGTATAACTCAGTTTCCCTCCAACCCGGGGTCCCACAAATGGGCCGGACAACAACTTTCATGATCTCCCAGCCAGCATAGCTTCTCATTCCTGCCCCATAAGGATCAGAAACACAGTCAGGTCAAAAAATAGAACAGATCAGAAAAAATATGTATGCATATACTCAATATAATCTGCCATACTTGCAAAACATAACTCTTGATACAGAATTTGAATCATTTAACAAAAGGCACCCATTCTACCATTTCACTGGATTATCAGCCACAGTGATTAGAAAATTGTCAACTGCCTTTTTAACAAGTCAAATTATTGCTGTGATCCTGTAAGCTTTGTTAATGTACTCATGCCATCAAGGATGAAGGAAGTGGATGGACCTTCTGGGTACAGTTCTGTGAGGGCACAAATTGGAGGCAGGGGTGACCCTGGGAGTATTCTGGCTTTGCTTGCTTTCAGGGAATTGGGTGAGCTCCTGCTGTGAGCCCCAGCTTCTGCCAACCTAGCAGTTCGAAAACATGCAAATCATGAGATGTCTCCCTTACAATGAAGAAGGAAAAGGCTTCCAACACAATTGTAGGACTCCCCTTACTGTTGTTGTATACTTTCTTCTACAACATACAACACACATACAATTGTAGGTTATGCCTGCATATGTCAATAGAATTGCAGTCTATTTGACTGTTCAGCACAGGACTGTCTATTTTTAACTGTACTGCTCCAGACAGAACTCTTTCTAGCTTGAACCTTTTACTGGAAATGCCAGGACATGAACCCCAAATCATCTGCATGCAAAGAAAAGGCTCAACAATAACAGAGTTACTGTCAAGGCTGCCCTGGGACCAAGAGCTTTGTCTAAAAACATTCTGGAAAGCAGCTCTCTGACGTTCTCTGACCTTCAGGACAAATGTCATGGCCTTAGATGCAAGCCTGAACAGGTCACCTGCAGCCATCCAGTTTCCAAGCTCTCGGCCAAAAAGGTTGGCAAAGCTTGTGTGGAATGTACAATTCTTAGAAACTGGGGGCACTGCAAGGGCCAGTAGAAGAGAAGTGGCTTTTGGACTGTAGCGACAGGATTAGAGTTAATCCTGAAGGTGGATACTATATAAAAGCAAACATGCAAAAATGTCCTGGAGGCTCAAAAGTACTGTGTAGTTGCCCCTGGCAACTGGGTGAAGAGCACAGAAAGTTGGCTCCTCCTATTGTGTCAGTGAGAGGACCAGTGGTCTCAACTTTGCATCCCTTTCCCAACCAGCTTGGTTGGTTGTCTTCCCATGCATAACTCTGCTTCCAAAGGAGAGGTGTGCTAACAGTGACAGTAGGGGCATGCCTACCACATGTTCCTCCTAGTTCGGCCATGGCACCTTTGGAGACATGGACAAACTGCATAGTATGAACAGAAATGGAGTTCCTCCTCTCTCTGGCACAGGTGGTTTCAACACTTCCAATATGTTTCACATCTCTAATATACACTACACTTTGTCCTTCTTCAACCTGGTGCCCTAACTTTAGCTTTTTTGGACTACAAGTCCCAAACAATTCCTAGCCATGATAGTTATTGATCAAGCTTGCTGAGGATGAAGACACTAGCTCAAAACATCTGGAAGGCATCAAGTTGGGAAAGCAAACTAGCATGTGTACACAGAAGTCTGCAGAAGATCAGCATTAGTGACTGGAATCCCCTTGAAGACAGAATGCAAGTATGGCAGACATTGCACAAAAAGGTATCCAATACCTCCTTGCAGAATATTTTCCTGACTGTATAATGACAACTAGCCACAGCTCAGTCACAAATAGGAATGCATGAAATAACACGATTGTTTTCTTATGAGTACAAAACATGAAGCTTTCAGGAGATTGAATCCATGAGCTAAATTCTGAATTTGTGTAGTAGGATTGCACAGAAAAGTCCTGGTCTTTATTCTGTAATTTTAAAATCTGGCTAATAATGTAGTCAAGCAAATAAAACTCCAACTATACCAGGCATACTTATCCTATCATCTAAAACAAGTTTACATTTATTATTTTTGCCAACTTTTCTAACAACCTGATACTGAAGGCCAATCTGTTTGGATCCCCTTTGTTTTCTCTCCCCTGGAACACTGCGAGCTCCATCCACGTTTGCTGGGGAGGACAAAGGGATCTGGGTAGTTGTAGGTTTTTTGAGTTGCATGGCTGTGTTCTAGAAGCATTCTCTCCTGACATTTTGCCTGCATCTATGGCAGGCATCCTCAGAGGTCGTGACCTCACAACCTCTGAGGATGCTTGCCATAGATGCAGGTGAAACGTCAGGAGAGAATGCTTCTAGAACATGGCCAGACAGCTGGAAAACTCACAGCAACCCAGTGATTCCGGCCATGAAAGCCTTCCACAATACAAAAGGATCTGTCTGCATTTTTCTTGGCAGGGCTCTCTCCATGCTTTTGAGTAGCTATAAAACAGGCAGAGGTTGACAGGCACCAAAGGTGCATTACTATATTTATCTATTACATTTATACTCCACTATTCCTCCAATGAGTTCAAAAGTTCTCCACAAGAACCATCTTAGGTAGATCAGGCAAGAGTGACTCACACAAGATTAGCCACTGACTTTCAGATGAATGAAGACTAGAGCCTAAATCTTTCAAGTCCCAGCTTAACACACTAACCACTGCACCAGTAGATGTTTCTAGACTGGTGCTGGTCCATGAGCCATTGGCTGCTGGTCCCTGCAATTTTCCAGTAAAAAAGGAACAACTGTAGCCAATCAGCATAAATTTGACATTAGGAAAAATAGTAATTTACATCATATAGTCTGAGAAGCACTCCATTATCCAGATCTATTACTTGACATGGAGATACTTTGACAGTGGAGATAGCTTTGAATCCTAAATATCTGCCTGTTACAGAACCTTCAGAGGCATGGGATCCTGCCACCAAGGGAAGGGAGTGTAGTCACAATGAAACATGGCTTCCTAGTCCTTCCAGTCCTTCTCTTCCTGGATGTGGCAAAAATTCTAATGGTAAACATAACCCACTGAAACAAAGGCTTTTAAAAATCTTCATATCTCACCAAACATTTTGCATAGTGGCCTAGATGACAAAGAACCTCAGTACACTGCAAAGAAGTCACACACACTGGTTACATGGAAGAATAAAACCATACGCTGTGGCTATGCCCTGCAAAAGACAAAAGATTGGCAAATCTTCTCTTAGACTGTCTCTGCACTGTAAAATTAATGCAGTTTGATATCACTGTAGCTGCTCTGGCTCAGTCTGATGGAATCTTGGGATTTGTAGATTGGTGAGACACCAATCCCACCAAGTGGGATCTTGTAAAACTACAGATCCCACTATTTCGTAGCATTGAGCCACAGCAATTATAGTAGTGTCAAACTGCATTCAATACACACAATATAGATGAATCCAAAGTACCCTTTAGAATTTTTTTAAAGAAATCCTTCATTTTGAAAACAGAAGCATAGCATTAAAGCAAAATATGAAAATCATCCAAGTCTTAACATTTGATTAAAAAGGAACTTTTCAAAGCACTGGTAAATTGGTGTCCATTGCCACCTAGTGGCTGATTAGACACAACACCTACACGGGCAATCCATTGTTTCTTTTAAAACTTTGGTTCTTTTTTTTTGTCCTGGGAACCTTAGAAACACTTTGGCACTCTTTGCACAAAAGGCACTTCTGGCCTCCTCTGCTTCCTCTTCTGGGTTATCTTCTGGAAGGCTGAACACATTTGTGTATCTCAGATCACTGTTGAACCTAATGTGTCACTAATGAGCAATGCTAATGTCATTTCCAGATGATCAAGTTGTTTGAAGGTTAGAAGGAAGGGACTCCTCTTTTAACTGCAAGCTCTTCCAAAAGACAGAAAGAAGATGGATTGGATGCCAAAAGTACACAAGAAATGTTCAAGCTTTGTGAACCCAACTCAAAAGGACTTGATTGGTCCAATGAGGATACCTAGCCAGAGCAGCCGAAAACAAAACCTGAGAAAACAGACTTCAGAGATGCTGGAGACAGGTAGCAGAGGAAAAATCTTGTCTGGTCTTGCTTGTGAACTTCTTGGCCACGGCTGACTGCAACTGAAGCCAATGGCCTGGATGGAGCTTTGGCTGGACATAGCAAAGCAAATCTTATCGTCCACATGCTCAGTCTCCAGTCGATAGTGTCTATATTGCTATTTTAAAAATAGTGAGCAGATGGAAAAGAGTAATGCTATTTATTTCTTTGTTAGCTCTGGCTTGCATTTCATCTTGAAAAAACCTTAAGTAACTTCCACGGCCTGGTAAAAATAGTCTCTGATTAAAATTTCACAGTATTCATTTCAGCCATTTTGTTTTCTAGCATTATTCCTTAAGATTTTCTCCACACATAATTTGGGCTTAGACACCAAATGCTAGAACATAGCACCCCGGAGCAGATAATATAGTAATAATAATGGAGTGTATCTAGTGCAGGGATCCTCAAACTGTTGGAGGGCTGGATTATAATGTGAAAAAAACATGAATGAATTCCTATGCTCACTACACATATCTTATTTGTGGTGCAAAAAACACTTAAAAACAATACAATAATTAAAATGAAGAACAAATTTAACACATATAAACTTATTAGTATTTCAATGGGAAGTGTGAGCCCACTTTTGGCTGATGAGATAGGATTGTTGTTGTTGTGTGCTTTCAAGTCGTTTCAGACTTATGTTGACCCTGGGCGAGGGCCGGTAAATGACCTTGAAGGGCCGTATCTGGCCCCCGGGCCTTAGTTTGAGGACCCCTGGTCTAGAGTATGTATACACCAATAACGAGAGATAAATTATAACTGGGATAGGATATATGTGCTTGTTGCTTGTTTTAAAAAATCATTACAACATAGAATCAATATTCTATTCTTCTTTCTAGAGTAGAAGCAAAAGTTCCTGATATTTGGCAAAAAAAGGAAAAAAATGGCCAGCCCAAGACATATGCTGTGCTTCTCTCCATTTTGTACACAAAACCTGATCAGAGTGACAGCTGATTTTTGAACACTAGAGAAAGGACAATGTCTCCAACTGCATCTGAGGACAGAAGGCAAAAAAGGGACTCCAGGACAGCCTTTGTAGCACACACAAAGAATCATAGAGTTGGAAGAGACCTCATGAGCCATCCAGTCCAACCCCCTGCCAATAAGCAGGAAAATTTAATTCAAAGTACCCCCAACAGATGGCCATCCAGCCTCTGTTTAAAAGCCACCAAAGAAGGAGCCTCCACCACACTCTGGGGCAGATAGTTCCACTGCTGAATGGCTCTCAGTCAGAAAGTTCTTCCTCATGTTCAGATGAAATCTCCTTTCTTGTAGTTTGAAGCCATTGTTCCGCATCCTAGTCTCCAGGGCAGCAGAAAACAAGCTTGCTCCCTCCTCCCTATGACTTCCTCTCACATATTTATACATAGCTATCATGTCTCCTTTCAGACTTCTCTTCTTGAGGCTAAACATGCCCAGCTCTTTAAGCCGCTCCTCATAGGGCTTGTTCTCCAGACCCTTGATCATTTTAGTCGCCCTCCTTTGGGCACATTCAAGCTTGTCAATATCTTTCTTCAATTGGGTTGCCCAGAATCAGACACAGTATTCCAGGTGCGGTCTAACCAAGGCAGAATTGAGGGGTAGCATGACTTCCTTGGATCTAGACACTATACGTCTATTGATGCAGGCCAAAATCCCTGCCGCATCACATTGTTGGCTCATTTTTTACTTGTTGTCCACAATTTTTCGGCTACCTAACTTGGCTGCTTCACTCTACCTAATGGCAGGGGTGGCCCTGTCTCTCAGCAAAGGAGTATAACACAATTTCTTTGTTGAAGTAACTGATCTTCCAAATCAGCACAAACAAACTCCATTTTGGCAAAGCAGCTGCGACTATTTTCAATGCTCATTTTGATGGGCCAGCAGCTGCACCTCCAATAAAGCCACTCACAAAAGAAAAGAAAAAAGGAATTGGGTAGAACAAACTGATTAGCCCCTGATCTCCCCAGAGAGGCATGAAAAGAGTTGGGAAGGCAAAATAAGGAACCCAAATCAAGTTCCAGGGGAGAGGGTATGTAAATCCTGACATGGTCAGGAAAGAAGGCAGTTCATTCATGGCAACAGAATCCAGATACGGTGTAAAAGAGCAGAAACAAGAGAGCAAATTGTCACCGATACTCAGAAAAAAGTAGGCCTAAAGCACGGCACTCCTTCAATGATGGAAGTAATTGATGGGTGTCTTCCATAAAGTTTTATGCCTTGCTCCGAGCTATATTTCGCCAAAGGCTTTAGTCTATTTTAAGAATGCCAGAGTTGGCCTTCAAAAGATAAAGGCTGTCGTCAACAAGGAAACTGCAAGAAGAGAAAAGACAAAGTTATTGAAACAGCCATTACTAGATTAGCTAATAAGACTACATTTAAAGGAATGAGAAGTAGGTATTTTAAATTAGTACTGGATCAAAGAACTTGTGGTGTATATACCTATCAGAGCTTGGAAAGGATATATTTAAGATATAGCTTCCAGAATCTCCTAGATAGCATAACAAAAGGGTTATTCCAAGAGCTGCAATTTAAAAATGAACTGAA